AGAAAAGGACACCAATATTGAAGAATGGGATGAAGGAGAGTAGTCAGCAAAGGAGCTTGAGAAGGAAAATGCAGGACAAGAGGAGAAACAGGAGCCAGCGAGGTCACAGAGGCCAAAAGAGGACTGTCAAGAGAAGAAGGACAGCATATCAAATATTACTAAGTAAAAAGAAAAAAAAAGATAGATAAGGAATGGCCATTGGATTGGGCATTACAAGGTGATCAGAAACTTCTGAAAATGCATTCTTTATGGAATAGTAAAAGCAGAAACATAAACCTAATGGACTGAAAACAGTAAGAAAGGTGAGGGAAAAAACTAGCCTTGAGAAATTAATCTGTGATGGAAAGCAGAAAAATAGGCTGGCAAAATCAGTGGACATCAAAATATGAGAAGTATCTTCAAGGAAACAGGATAACAGGGTTGCAGGCTGCAGGAAGGAGCTGGTAGCAAAGAAGAAAACAAAGACGCAAGCAAGGAGGGACAAAGGATGGAACCAGGTGGAACCTTCAGCTTTGAAAAGGAACAAGAGCAACTTTTCTTGATGCAGGAGAGAGAATGAGTAAATATATATAGACTGGGGATCAAAGGGAGGATGGAGAAAAGAATAAGTCGAAGGTGAGCATTCCTGAGGGCCTTTATTTTGTCAGAGCAACAGGAGTGAATTTGGCGTTCAAGAGTAAAGCAGACAGATCATGGCAGGGTTGAGAACTTGAGGGAAAGACAAAGGTTTAGAATATCTGTTGTGAGGAATGGAAAAAGGAGCTACATAAGAAGAAGAGGGACGTTGAAGCAGCATTGAGAAATAGCATGGAGTTAGGAAAGCATGGATTTGTTGCGGTGCTAAACACAGCACAAGGCGGTCATCTCCAGCATGGAGGTGAACAGAGAAAATGAATGATAATGCAGAGGCTGATGATGATGGTAACAAAAACTAGCAGGTGCCAAGAAATTCAGAAGCTCATCCTGAGCCAGTATTAGTGATTAAGTGAATGGGCTCTGGGTTTGAATTCCAGTTATTCCACTTCAAGCTTTGTGAACCTGGGCAAGTTACTCAACCTCTGTGTGTCTCAGTTTTATGATCTATAAAATGGGCATAAAGAATAACAGTATCTACCTTATTAGGGTTGTTGTGACAACTAAATCAGTTAATTCGCATAGAACATTTAGAATAGTGCTGGGCACATAATAACACTTGTTCAGTGTTAGTTATATTTTACTACAGTGTTGAGGCTAAGTTGAGGATCATAGGACGTAACAAAGTTACAAAAATATCACAACTTTCAGCACATAGCCAAGAGTGAAATAATCCTGGAAAAGCATCAACATAACCATACTACTATCAAAATATCAAAAATAATCTCAGCTACCAACCATACCTATAACAGACATCCTTTTTCTGATATTGTTGAAATCCAAAAAGGCAAGCAATTGGTAAGTAACTAGTGTTCCCAACTCTTCTATTGTTATTGTCTCTGGGGTGCGGGACTTAAAAATGAACCCCAAATTTCTAGCAGCAGTCACTAGAGCACCTTCATCAGGTGATTGAACTTGGTAAATCAGCTGTCCTAAAAGAAAAAGAAACAAGTATATCAATACTGAGAACAATAACTAACATTCATAGAATTCCAATGACAACTCCAAATCATTCTTTAACACCCAACTCAAGCATCGTCTCTAAAAATCTTTCCTGTCCTCAGACTTCCGCTCACCAACCAGCTGAACCAGATGCCTGTCCTCTGGGATGCCACAGGACTCCACGCATCCTACCACTGTAGCCCTTATTATCTTATAGAAAAGCATCTGTTTCTGAGTCTCTCTTTCCACCATGCTCCAAGTTTCTTAGGTCAGAGATCACATCTTTGTATTTTTCATGACTGGAGATGTGCCTTGAATGTTTCACAGATTAAAACACTTTGAAATATATTAACTC